CGCAACTCGCAACTCGCAACTCGCAACTCGCAACTCGCAACTCGCAACTCGCAACTTTTTGATTCGCATTCTTCCTACGCCCGTTAACATTAGCAAGTTAATTGATAAATAGATAGCTAGTAGGCTCAATTGAGTAAAATCTTATTATAAACAAGATATAATACAAATATTAAATTTGTCTAAAATGCTGTGTTGATATTTCGCTCTCCGCATGGTATATCACTGAAATATTTCGGTTTCATAAGATGGATCTTGTTGTATCAATGTATCAGCAATTATAAATAAGCATGAGTATTAGTCCTGCATGTGCTGCATGTTCAATGATGCCGTGTAGAGTGGGGCACGTGTTCTAAAGCAACATCACGACAAATGAATAAAACTGAAAAGATATGAAATAAAACAAGTTTCATCTAAACTTATTCGGATTTGGATAAGAAGTCTATAACATGTACTTAGAACTCGGTTAGATCGAGAGTCATGCTAATATTAGCAATCAATATTATAGATACATTAGTATATGTGAGTGAATAACTCGTTTCAAATCCTTCATTGTCGTGACTTACCATGTCGATCACGTTGCTCAAAGTCATGTCCATTGTAATGTTGATTGGTAATAAGCCGTTCTTTACAGGCCGCACTCGCTTTGAGGATCGATTGCCGTTCAGGAGGTATTCTATAAGTTTCGATTCCATTTCGAAAGTAGATCCTAAGCAAAAATGTAATTCCAAAAAAATGAAAACTTTCATGAACTAGTACATAGTTTGTATTCAGAAGCAAGAAAACCAGGATATACTTACCTTCGACAAATCTTGGATTCAGTTCATAAAAGAGAACAAAAATTCCAGTATAAAAGCATAAATATGCTCTCCAGAATGATGTTGGAACACGCTTGATCAGCTTCATGTTGTCTCACAGACCTTCTTGTCTAGAACGGCTGAAAAATGCTGAAATATGAAACCAAAATCGAAGCCAATAACAGAAACAAAAGTTCACCAATGAAAGGAATCCGCCCTTGAAATGAAACACATATACGTACGTACAAAAATCAGCCTCTAACTGCACTGTGACAATAATATCACATAACGTCACGACTGCGTGTCGGGTGTGAATATCATAAAACATAATCAACAAGGCGGAAGACAAAATACTTCTGACTTTGAATGACAAATGAGCAAATCACAAAAAACAGTCAAAAGCAAAAGGATCGCCCATCGGGGATATCAATTAAAGAATATAGAACAGTTTAACATATTCCTCTGATGATTCTCGCCGGTTTTCTGTCAAGTAAAACATGTCATGTCATGTAGGAAATTTTTTACGGGTGCCTTGACCTCTCCATGGAACCATGACAAATATGCCTTCAGTCTTTCTTGGATCTGTTATTTTGTCATTTGTGGAATTATAAAAATAAACTAACTTCTTCCCCACATTTCGTCACATTTCCTCTTGAAATTAAGGATTTCCAGGCTACAAGATGGCGAAAAAACAAGACGTCCTATAGGCATTCACTGGGTTGCCTGTGTCTTGCAAAGAGGCTTAGTACGCTGAAGAAGTTTTCAATGATAGCCAAAAGATAATGGAATGTTTCACAGAAAACAATGATTTCGTTTAGCTCGTCTAAGACGATCTTCTCCCTTACAGTCAAACCACCTCAAGCGTGACTGTTGACTCGAAAGTTTATACTACTTCAACAGCCATGCACACCTATTTAGTTTTCCTCTTGTATTAACCTGAATTCTTTGTATATATAATCTCCACTTGTATCATCATTCATTCCACTTTTTGGTAACAATTTAGCTTATTGTACTTGTGTGCGAATAAACTTGAAACTTGAAACTTGAACACGTAGAGGTCATTAATGACTTTATTTTTGGATTTTTGATTTCATTATTCGATTCAAAGATTCATGGATGAAAACGAATCTTCAAAGCCTGGCATAAACAAAAGCCAAGCATATATGAAATTGAAATGTAAAAGCACCTTTTTGTGCAAGGAATATGTAATATTAATGACTTACCTTCTGTTTGCGCTATAAACAAGAGCCTACAAGCCAAGTTAATCAAATCTTCAAATTATTATAATTTTTTTGAATATTGAAGATTCGTTTTTATTAATGAATGTTCGAATCAAGAATCCAAAAATAAAGTCGACATTAATGACCTCTACGTGTTCACGCTTGAGGTGGTTGGACTGTAACTCGTCTAAGAATTAGGTGTTCTCTACATTAAAATGTCAAAATAATCGCAGGTTCTGCCCTTTTTAGCCTATAAAATAAACAGTTTTGCGTTATGCATGTCACACTACTTGTGAATTTGATCTTGCGCCATGACGCAACAAGATCAAATATCCCAATGTTCTCAGTCAGAATCACCAATTAATTTTCTTATCTTTTTACCATTCTTTGTTTTTATATTATTTACTGAGGTGGCTGTTTATTTTTCTTGTCAGAAAATGCAGAAATTGCGGAATAGTACCCAAAAGTCTTCACGGCATCCCCCACTAGTCCTTTGCGGGCATATAATATAGAGAGCCAAGTACAGTAAATGTTTTGTCAGCAAACTTTGCCAGGAAAGATAGCAAAGCATTGCTCTACTTTTCGCGGATCGATATTGCTTATATGACTGATAACGTGTGATCGAACTCATACTGTCTTATAAGCAACCGACTGGGAATAAATCTTTTTTCACTAAAACGATTGTCTTATCGTCGAATATTTATATCTAATAAAAAATGGATTTAAAAAAATCTTATGTGGATAAGATGGGATTCGAAACCACCAATAGAAATTCAAAAATTGCGATTTCACTTTGCCATACCCCCGAGACATCCGCAGACCTGAGGCGGCGTATGGACTTCGGACCTGGAGGCGATTAAATCCTTCTGCCCTTGAGTACGAATTACGCTAAAAATGTTCTAGCCGAAGCATCAGGGGAGAGACCAGCCGGCCCCCAGACCATAGCGGCTAATTAAAATTTTAATAAAAAAATATTAGTAGTTTTGCGTTGGGTCGTGTCATTATCGCTTGGTCCGTTACTAGATAGTAAATTAGGTGATTAGAGCCAATTTTTTTTGTCAAACATCGACTAAACAAAAGAGAGTAATACACATTTTAAGAAACGGAACCCCCCTTTGAAAGATCCTGGATCCGCCACTGAATAGGATATAAAGTAGTGCGACTTTTCTATCTTTGAGTAACCTATTCCTGTCTACACAAATCCTTCAAACTGAAATCTAGCAGAGGAAAGTCCCTGAAGAAAAATGAAACTACCGGCCAAATTGTATTAAATAAATACAATATTAAGTAAATCATATAGGAGTGTCTAAATGAAATGGCCGGCAGTTCCATCTATTTTTTAAAATCCAGCTCAATCTATACGATAACACAAACCAAACTTGAAACTCGAGCAAACCTTTTTATGCTTTCAATAATTGTTTATAGCGCTAGCATCATTAAATTTCAAGTAAAAATTCTGGCAAGTAATAATGACTTAAAACAAGGTGAATCGGGAAAGAGAGGAAAGAGAGGGGCTGGGACCGAAAAGAGCAAATATTCCATATGCATGCACAGTTTATACACTCAAGTAATTCCTAATCCTGCAATGAACCTTGAATTTCAGCAACTAACGAAAAAATATTATGCATAGATGTTAATTTCCGACACGTGATTCGCAGCCCCACCCCCAATCAATCACTTTRATAAATTAGACATTGATTGGTAACTGTCACTTGAATATAAATCAGACTTCACACGGGATCTCTGATGGATCATATGTCTGTAAAGGACTCTTGGGTAGTGCAGTGAAGACTCCTGGGTACTATTGCGCAATTTTGGCATTTGGTATAATAATTGTGCTAATACGCGCTTGATAACAGTCACACAGTAATTCAGATTTATAGTTTATAGTCTTATTGCAATAGCAGGCATGATTTTTTTCGCAGGCTTCATGACACCTCAGTTTTGCATTGACGTCATTTATTTTCCTATTTCTATTACAGATCATCAAGGAGGATCATCTTACAGGATCCGATCAATAAAGGAGAGGGAAATCCTGGATCAGTTTGTTCTAAAATCAGTCTCCAAAACAAAAAGTAATACACACATTCGTCATTCGTGTATGTTTGCATTGATTCTAAGTAAATTGACGTATTTGACACTCAGTATCATAAATCAGTGCTTGATCATCGATGATCGGCGAGCACTGATTAAACAGGTCTCTGAGGGGGAATGCTAGTACCAGTAAAATCGGTCCCCATTCCTTTGGATCCTTGTTTTTGACATATCAATGGTATAGGAGGGTAGGACTTCCTGTATGGCCACAGGAACATGTTTGACCTTTATTTGTTTTGTTCTCTATCAGAAGACACATGATGACTTGGCCGAAGATAAGAAAGGTCTTTTGATGCTTCTTGTATCATCATTAAATGGGATGAAGGGAATAAAAACTGTACTCCATTGTAGTATTCACAATTAACCAAGGAACAAAACATTGCGCAATAAGATTTAATTACAGACAATGGGCTGCATCCCAATTTGGGATGTGCATGGATTCAGCAAGGCCGGAAACTCTGCAACTCTCTGGTTATCTGATACCTCTATTCGAATGAAATGCGATATATTAGAAATCACTAATTCGTAGCTTTCCAAGATAAACAGTGTCTATTTTTGAGGCTTAATCTTAAGACCACAGGCAATAGTTTCATTTGTTTTCTGCATTTTACACGGTCACAATCAACCAAACAAAAACCAGGCAGAGCGATGGATTCGCGAGTTAGTACTGCACGCTTTGTCATTGTTCTAACCATCTTTCTTATCAAAGGTAGGTTGGTTTATTCATAACTTGTCACCTTTCTATCTAGCTTGCTTGATATAGGCTTACACACTAGATGTTCATTGAATCTGTATTTTCCATTGTGTCTGTATTTTCCATTGTAAGATGCACATACAATCACTTTATCGGTCAGCAAAACAGCTCAATATCTTTATAAATGATGTGCAATGAAGGCAGCTGTACGAACATATCTACGTAAGCAATGATTCTTGTCTAAAATAGGATAGGCGATCTACTTTAAGCAGTCATATTCGAACCCTAATCTGGGTATAAATGCGCCTGGGTCCAACTTTAGTTTGGCCCAGAGCTTGGCCCAGAGTTTGTCCAAGATGGCATCATCTCGTCGTCTTCGTCGGTGAAGGAGGGGGAGGGGAGGGTAGAAGAGGGGAGGGGAGGGGAGGGAAAGTAATCTATTTCCTGAATCTCATTGTTGAGCCCTAATCTACCTCAGCTTCATTTCTTTTCTTGTTCTTTCAATTAATTCAACAGGCCAAGCGATTGGTTTAGATGGCGTTCACGTATTTGCATCACATGGGTTCCATGAAATACAAGAGTCGATATCAAGCAGGATTGACCCGTTTTCTAATGGTAGGAAATTTAATATTAAAACTGTTTCTCAGGTAGTAAATGTTTTCAAAAAAAACTATTGTCATCGCCAAAGATAATAGACAATAGGCGATAGGCGAAAAGCGATAGGAGATAGGTCATTCCAAGATCCAAGAATAGCTGGATTGACTTGTGTTTCTGCTTCTTATTCTCGTCGAGAACCTTAGTGTTAAGAGTGATTCAATGTTTTTTGTATTCAACGAAACCATTTCCGTCTCGTAATGAAATATCGTCTATCGCCTTTGACGATGACAACGTTTAATGAAATAAGCGTATATCTTCAAAGTTCAAGATAGATATATTGACTTACTTCATATTCTCTTGCTTACATATATCGCACAATAATAATAATAATAATAATAATAATAATAATAATAATAATAATAATAATGGGGTGCTTCTATAGCGCATTTCACATGGTCTCAATGCGCTTTACATTAATATCAATACTAATATCATTTTCTTTGTCTTCGAATGGTAGAGTTCCTACAAGGTTCATCAAAGATCGCTGACCTCAAAAGCTCTTCAGGAGAACATCTTTCAGAACTGAGTTCTTTRCAGAGAGTGCGTAAACGCAGGGATGTGGTCAGCGGTGGCCTACAAGTGCAGGGTCTCTCGGCCAGTCAGGGCTGTAATGGCATCATATTGGAATGGGATGCATTGCCTCTACCTTACAGGTGCCTATCACCATCAAGTCATATTATTGATGCATAGAGCTTATCGTATACGTTACTTAACTGCATGCATATCAATCGATAAAAACATTACCTTACATTAAACAGCAAGAGTAATTTGTATTGATCAGACATTTATTTTTGTATTCATGGTTTCGGTTCCATAGTTACTTTTGCTATATTTTACGAGCCTAACAAATTTTAAATTTTAAATTTTAATATTTATAAAGCGCAAATTAACACTAAGAATATGATCAAATGCGCTTTATCCAAAATATCTCAAGATTTAAATATCTGAGCGCGGAAAATTGATCACAAATTATTTCAATTCTTTACTATCCTTTGATAATAAAAGAATATTGCCACGTAATCCTCGTAGCACTCTTTAAAACAGATACTGTGAAGTTTTTTGTGGGACAAGATTTAAATTCCACTGGGAAAACTGCTGCACGGTGATTGATTCGCTATTGTCTGAGTCGGAACCATGCATTGAAGCTAGATCAGAATACACCTTTTGTGGCTATTTAAAATGGAATTCCAGGATAACACTAATGTTTTGTTTGTATCTTAAGCGCCAAACTCCAATACGTCAGCTCTGAGTTCAAACATTTCAACGTGTATCGCAGTAACTCATTCTTCAGTGACGTCACGGGTATGGCACCTCATGCGTCTGGAGTAACGGATCCAAGACTTCGTGCAGTCGATAATAGACGTTGGATAGATTTTTATCCACCACCTATGGCGAACTGGTTCTATGCTGTCACGATTGTGGACGGCAAAGGAAGGGAACAGACGAGGGTCGCTGCTAAAAAGGTAATTAATGTTTAACAAAGGGGGTGTATTAACGAATGAACAAATCCACTTGGGGCCGGTCTCTGCAAAACTACTGTGCCAGGAGTTGCGCTAGAAAGCCAGGTTCCAGTAACACATATTATATAAACGTTGTTGTTATGTGCTAAGTGCTTTATCCATAAACACGACGCGTCCACGAGTTTCCCGCCAAACTTCAGAGCATGCGCAAAGCCTCATTATTTCTGAAATAGTTTGCATGTCTTCATTTCGTGATTGAGTTCGTTTGTTCTTGGCAGGTAATATTTGTAGGAGCCATAGAAAAAGAAGGAAAGCCGTTTCTTATGATTCCTTCAGTTCTACGTGGCCGAGCGATGCACCACAGTGTGGCGTTTAACCCCAACAGAAATGAATATCTTGTAGCCTTCGACTGGGACATGAATCATGATGGTACATCAGATCACTTGTATGCTGCTAGACTCGATCAGGCTGGTAAAATCGTCGACAAGAAAGTGCTCAACTTTTCAGCTAGCATTCCAGGTTGGGTTAGCGGTAAGTCGATCTACTAGTACCTTGGGAGAGGGCGTGGGGTAGGGTCGGGAACGTTTATGCCAAAAGCTGGATAACTTGCTTTCTTGTGTTTCAGGTGAGCAAGGCTGGCCAGCGGTTGCATTCAATCCCTCAAGTAATGAATACCTTGTTCTCTTCCATTTTCGTTCAACAAAACATTTTTCGAATAGACACGTTATTCTCGCTCAAAGAATCTTGGCTGCACAAAGTGAAAGAGCTGCTTCACCTTCGGTCACTGCCACGGCTGACGGTGCAGATATCAAAGAACCAAAACTGCTCTACAATCCAAAAACTGGTTAGTATATACCCATCATGTAATATACATCAGTAATAATACACACCTGTGGTATAATGGTTAGTATATACCCATCATGTAATCTACATCAGTATTAATACATTAGTGGTATATTGACCCACCAACTATTTCATTGGTCATTGTGTACAATTTTAAGTGCTAATTTTCTTCGTTGAATATTTCTTTGTCATCGCTGTTTTTTGTCTTCCTCGTGCAGGTGGTTACGTGGCTTCAGTAGTCGTTACCAAACCCAAGAAAGACGTTATTGGACTATTTCTCGATAAAAATGGAAAAGTAGCGAAAGTTGGTCAAGTCTGTAGTTTCCGTTACGATGCATATGAACACAATTTGTTTCATGACTCGAAGCGGGATGAGTTCTACTTTACTTGTACAATAGAAAATAAAGGAACTATTGCAAACCCTCAGGTAAAGTAGATCAGTATTACGACTAAATAAACCCGTATAATAACCACTGCATGTGTCTAGCTATACTTGGCATACCGTACCTTATATTACTGTGTCTAGCTATACCTGGCATATCGTACCTTATAGTACTGTGTCTAGCTATACCTGGCATATCGTACCTTATAGTACNTACTGTGTCTAGCTATACCTGGCATATCGTACCTTATAGTACTGTGTCTAGCTATACCTGGCATATCGTACCTTATAGTACCTTATAGTATGTACCAGTTGTGTATATTCCAGCAGATAATTTTGAAATTTTTGATTTGTTCCTATTGGTAGCTTGAAACACGACCTTTCATGGTTTTGATGACAAAAATGGACGCATTTGGTGTTCATGCGTCAAATACACCTTCTAGTGGGACCAAGACACTGATAGGCTACTCCAACAAACGACACACTAGACACGAAGGATATTACAACCAAAAGACAGACAGGTAATAACAGACATTGCGTGACATACATAGCATTACACGCGCGAAGCTTGGTTATTACAACCAAAAGACATAGAGGTTATTACACTTCCAGTTGTATATTACAGCCGGATAATTTTACGAGTGAAAGCGGCCGTATTTGTTCTAGCGCCGTTCACAGACCGTGTACTATCTAAAAATAGAAAAGGCGCGCTTGTGCTGTGTGCAGTCATAATGCACGTGGGGTTGGCAGAACACAAGAGAAGTCTTAGGAGAAACACGACGCCAATCTCCAAGTGCTTTATAATTTGCACACAGCACAACAAGCAAGTTTTTCATTTCTTTTATGAAATACGAATTAAAGTAACCGTTATTTTGGATAGGAATTACACTTTATGCTCTCATAAAGAACGCGTTCCCAACCAATCAGAACGCGAGATTTATAACAATTATTTTATAGCGTTATGTAATTACACTCGAAAAATGGTCGTAATACACTGGGTGAAGACAGTTATTAGATAGTGTTTATAACTATTATAGATTTAATCTTTTTAATGAATAAAGAATTTTTTGATTCTACGTCCCGTCGGCAGGTTAGTGATGTTCTGGGAAGATCTTAAAAATGGGAAAAACACGTTATCATCATCATCTCTACTCATGACCAGAGCACTTTTCTTGCTGGAAGTCGGCAAGTACGACTGTCATCTTGACCGAGAAGTAAAAACCCCGGTGCTCCTGCCTATGCCGATATCCGGTGGACATTATCTTTTATGGCAAGAAAGAAGCCAGTTATCGTGGAGTATAGGGGGACAGCTCATGAAAGATGGCAACTTCAGGCTAACCAGTGGAATCCAAAAGAACCCTACTGTAGTGTACAATGTCAATAGGGACATGGGGTTTGTGGTTTGGCAAGAAGATGTTGGAAGACAAGTCAAGCTAATAGGAAGACACTTTACTTATTCGTCTTCTCATACATGCTCGTCAGCTTGCCCACCAAATCAAAGATGTGTTCAACAAAATACCTGCGATTCAGGTTAGTTTCATTCACCGGTCCATTAGTAGATGATCAATGGCATCATGTTTCTATCACTATTGATTGACGTCTGACTTAATGTATAACCAGACCGCTGCTCATCCAACAATGGTGGTTGCAGTCACAAGTGCCAGGTCAAGGCCGGTGGTTTGTTGACTCAGTGCATTTGCCCAAAAGACATGGAGCTGGATGCTGACCAGAAAACATGCATTAACAATTGTAAGTTGGTTTTGAATGTCATGCAAACGTCATGCAAACGTCATGCAGGTATATATGGAATGATGATATTTAGTGTTGTTTTGCTATCATTAGTGCCTTGTAGAGGGATGACCCCCATGAAGAATCCGCTGACAAGTCAAGATATGTACTGTGGGAGAGGACCCTTGCATGTTGATTGTCTAGAAGGTTCATACTGCCATATTCATCCTACAGACAAATTCGCCAAGTGTTGCCCAGGTCAGTAAGAATTATCAGTAACTTAATGTGGTTGACTTATATTTATATTATATACGTATACGACACAAAGTAGTACACAATAGGTCTTGTATGTGGCATTGCATGCAATTTACAATGGAAGCAGCACCTCCATCGCCAAGAGGACTGCGTAGTTTTGTTAGCAAAGTATCACAATACAGTACTACAGTAACTTTATTTAAAGAGGGACACGCAATAACCTTTCATATAGTTTTCTAACTTACTGAGCTGAGTATGTGTCAATCTAAAAAAAAAATTTTTTTTCCAATTGAATGCGATGCAGACCTGTTTCTTTACTTCAACAGACCTTCTTCCAGGGTATGCAATTCTAGTTGCAAGTCAAAATACCATCTGGAAAGCAGTCATCAATGAAAACCAACAAAAAGCTAATGTTAGTAGAATGCCGTTCACACAAGGATTCATGCAGGTTGTTGCTATTGCATATGATCCAAAAGAAAAGCGTATGTACTGGTCTGACGTCATGGGACAGACTATAAAACGAGCATTGATGGACGGAACAGGCGAGGAGACTATTCTAAGGTACTATCATGATTACAGATCTTTATATTAGACATTCTGAGGTCGAGGGAAAACGGGACCTAGCAATACAGTACATTATGGTAGTGTTTTAGGGAACGAAATATAGATGTCATCTTGCAAATACGTCCTCTTAAACACTCGCATAATGCAAACCAAGTCAACCCAGTTTTTCCTTCAACCTCAGAATGAATAATACAATGCTCCAATACTCCACAAGAAGGATAATCAGAGTGTAATGATGATTCAGGTCCAATGTACACACACCAGATGGATTATATCTTGATACGGTTGACCGTGAACTGTATTGGACCGACGCTGGACAGGAAACAATCGAGAAATCCAAACTTGATGGTTCAGGAAGACGCGTTTTGGTAAATAAAGGGCTTGATCAACCTAGAGCAATAGTACTATATAAAAAGCGAAGGTAATTTATTAAGTGAAACTTAAATTGAGGGAAAGAGGGGGGAAATGTTACAATAATAGCCCCAAAAGAACAATATAAACAAGCATTTATTTTTTATCGGGAATGGGGAGGGGAGGGGGGGGGGTGGGTGAGCCGGAGGAATCACTTTAAACTATCATATAAAATCTTTAGCCCCTTTCTTCTATCTGCATAAAATCGTGACCCTCCCCTTGAAATGTGTTGGATTCTTGACCCTCCCCTTTACGTAGTATGAAATATTTGATGACAGCACTTATTGACTGAGTAGAAATTCAATGGCCCTCTCCTGAATGCTCCCTAATTTTATTATAAAGCTGGCGACAACATGGAGCTAATACTATACAATCTAATATCAAGCCCTGAACAATAAATCAACCTTAATAAATATATGGTAATTCTTTACACTTTGTTTGTATTTTGAAGACAAATGTATTGGACTGACTGGGGGAAAATTCCAAAGATTGAAAGAAGTTTGGAAGACGGTACGACTCGAGAAACCATTGTTACTAGAGGTTTAGGCTGGCCCAACGGTCTTGCAATTGACGAAGATCTTAGACAGTTATACTGGGCAGACGCTAAAGTTGACAAGATAGAAACCAGTGACCTGGAGGTACTTATAATGCCACTTAAGCTATCTTTAGTCCATTTATTAAACGCCTATAACTGAAGTAATATATATATATTTATTTCAGGGCAGGAACAGACGTGTGCTAGTGGGAGGCGACAAAGCCAAACATCCATTCTCAATAGGAATTCTCAACAATCGGTGAGCCTGCCACGACTTATTATTAGAAATCTTATCTAAACAAGATACATGCATGTGTTATAAAGCTTAATTTGTGTCTTGCATGAATTTGCTTTAATACTCTTAAAACAAAGCACTGATATATGGAGATGTATCCCCTCCGAGGTGGATAAAGTGCACACCGTCAGCTCCCTGGAAGATCAGCCACGTAACTGAACTAACACTTTACTTTTACCCTTTACAATTTTGTTATCTACATTATTGAAGATTGTTTTGGAGCGACTGGGAAAAGGAGGGCGTTCAGAGTGTGGACAAACAAACGGGAAAAGACTACGCAGAAATATTAAATGGTTTGGAAAACCCCAAAGGAATGTTTCTCTTTATGACAGAGTCGCAACCCCGTAAGTAGCAAGCTGTGTTTGTCAGTACTAGTAAGATAAGACATCTACGTAATTCCAAATTCTTGAATTTAAACTGAAAATGTATCAGAATATTTTAGTTTTGCCTATAGTGACAGAATGCTTACTTCAGTAACTGAAAGCTTTACTTTTAGTTTCTGTTCCTTTTGTTTTCTCTGTAAGTTGTTCCAAAGCAGCTTACTTGACCAATGTGTCTTGGATAAATATGATAATATGCATGTATGTCTTTTTTTATTTTAATAGTCAACACGTGCCCCGACCCAGGTCGTCCAAACAATGGAAACCGATTTCCAGCCCCAGGTCCCACTGGCCGTTATGACGTTGGAGTTTCGTTAATATTCACTTGCAACCCAGGCTACACTTTGATTGGCCCTATAAATCGGCAATGCAAGAGAACAGGCAAATGGAGTAGAAAAGTCACCGAATGTGTTGGTAAATATAATCCTACGCAATCCAACATGATAATATTTAGAGAGATATATCAAGTGGCTGTTAAAAAATAGAAAATATCACTCGGTGCGCAGCAGAGACAGGGGAAGAATTTTATCAAAAA